ACGAGCGTTGAACAAACTTGTGACTTCCAGCGGCTGATCTCGACCTTCAGTTCAAATAGTTTTTCCTCCTGTTTTTATCTTGTTTTGAAGGTAATTCATGTTGTCACACAATCACTTTCTGCTTCCTTCCCTTGCTTTTAGGCTTCGCGATGAGTTCGTTCCTGTTGTTGTTTGGTAGTCCATCTCTACCACCGTCGACTTTCGCTGCTGTTGGAAGATCCATTTCCTCTTCGTTTTCCCATAAGAGAGTACTCATAATTTATACTGCTTATAGATGAAAGCGTAACGTGTGCAGAGTGCTAGGCATTTTTCCTTCGCTACTTTTGCTGGATTAGAAGCCTAATAATCAGGAGAAACTGTTCTCATGTTTTCCCTAGCACAAATGCTGGCATACCTTTGAGGTAATCCGCATCATTCTAAATTGCCCTATATTGCTCCATGGCTTCCACTGTAGGGTAGAGAAATCTTTGAATGCCCACGATCTCATTTCTTCCATGATGACGGAGAGATACATAGCGTCCTTGTCCAGGTTTTGAGGACCATGCTGAAACAAAAATCTTCAATCTTATGCGAACTTTCATTAATTTTGCATTTCAAAACTGTGATTTTGAAAATTTGAAGTATGATTGGTTCACGTGTTCTATTGTTATTACTGCCGACTTTGCTGAGGACGACCTTTCCTTGAATTTTTTACATGTCGAAAAGGCGCATCGAAAAAAGACAGGAAGAATGGCCTGAAATAGGCGTGGTGCTTGTCTGTCCATAGCTGCGCATTCCGCATGTGCACAGTGTCACAATGTTGCTCCTAAAATTAGGAGAAGTATAAGAGTGACTATGAGCGCGGTTTTGTACCATTGTGTAACAATGTCAAGTATATGTCCAAAATCAGCCATTTAATATCGGAAAAACTGCTCGTGCCACCTTCGAGCCATTGGGTAATGATGGTTTATGCTGTTCGGGCAAAATTTAGCACTTCCAACCACAGATGTTGTTGCCACTGAACCTGAGCAAGTTATATGGATTCTAGCTGAACTGAAACTAAATCTTATCACTGACTTAACTCCGTTCTTTGAGCAGCCTACTGAAAAGCTTGTGAAATCGCATACTATATCCGCCTGGATGTCCTGCGATGAAGTGCACGTCACTGCTGCTACTGCACCTTTTGCGCATTTGTAACACCATGAACGGTGTCCTTGATTTTACAAATTGCATCTTTAATAATTACAGCAGTCTTGAAAGTGCCTTGCACTGACATGATAATCTCTGCTGTGGTCATATTGAAAGACTAGCCTGCATCTGATTTTCGTTATTCAACTTGAAGGAAACCGATGACAATACTGCAGGCAGTATGTGGTTTATGCTTAAAGCATGTAGATATGCTCATCGTTCGCTGCAATTTTCTTCAAAGTAGTCTGGGCCTTCCGCAGCGGTTTCATCTGTGCACTGTGCCGATAACGTGAAGGAAATAACTTCCAAACCACGGCGACCTCTGTTCGCATGATAGTCGTAGCGGCTCGTTTTGCAATCGTTTCGTAATGCACCAGTTTTAACCTTGCCTCTTTCCATTTATTGCAGTAGATAATCTCAAATTTTGCGACGATGTAGGGTCACTTAGATAGATGGAAGAGACATCCTGTTGTTGTGGCGTTATCGCGGCACACTTTCTCCTGTACATGAAGCTGTGTGAGAGCACCTCTTGCACTGCACAACATGATTAATCGTGTCCCTAATGAAAGTATCCGTTTCGGGTTCGCAGGTGAGTTCTTGTCCCAGAAGGACCGGACTTCGTGAATCACCGTGTGTTTTTTAAATCAACTGGAAGCAAGCTCCTTGTGAAATGGGCTGATTTCCAAGATTTGCGATAATCGAATATTGCAAATTTGTCTCTTCTCAGTACCATGCAGATGATTGATGTGCAGAAGACATTTACATGCTGGCATCTGCTTGTCAAAGAGTTTGTGAGTAGAGAAGCCACTGTTAAAAGCTTTTTCAGGTCACCTCTTAATCGACATTGAAGGTTATTTCGATTAGTTCTCCTTAGAAGAGAAATATTCT